TATATATATATATATATATATATATATATATATATATATATATATATATGTATTAGGTTATTTTGAAAGCTTATCATTTCTACATACACTTTCTGCAATAGTTCGAGCCATTATTTGATCAATGGTTTTTTCATAGAAATGAACTGGAAGTGAAAGTGAAAATTCTACGAACTCATGACGATTTTGATCATTTTGAGGATTACCCCCCCCCCCCTTAGTCTTACTCGTTTCTTTTTTAGAAACTGATTTTAGGCTGACACTATTTAGCGGCCTCAGTGTGTACATTTGCTGCTTAATACTATATTCTTCCTTGAATCAATGGAACGGCCTGATCATGTGCATCTGGATGATTATTCGGTTGCCACTCTTTCACATTAGGCACAAAGTCCTGTTACTGCACAATCACTGGTCAACTGTGCAGTCAATCCGCCTCACATCCCAATCAAAATTAGAGTAGTTGTACTTTATTGATTATTTAGCTACAGTCCCCTGTCATTTTCCCACTACCAATTACAACTACTATTATCGTAGTTGGACCTTGTTCGTACAGATGCCAACTCAACGTTGTGCTGATTCCATTGGGAAGTTTTGAGTACAAAACATCTGGAGAAGTGGCTAACCGTATCTAGCTCCTTACTATCATTTAATAATCCCAGCTTCGTATATCTGGAAATGAGCTTTTAACATCTCCCAATCACGTCTTCTGTTTACGTCATAGGCATTTTTTTAATGCTTTCTCTGCGACGCAAATTATATTCCAAGTTACAAAAAAAGATAAACAAAAAAGCATTACGTTTCGCACCAGGCTAGTTGTGAAATGTGTGCGAATTCCAATTTATTGGTTTCAAGTATACTATCTGCATTGGCCGTTAAGCCCGCTTCATAATGCAAACTATGCGTCAAGTAGACGTGATATTTCACCATCTACGAGTGTCCTACGGGCGTAATATGATTAGTTAGTGGAGCATTTCATCTAACCTTAGAGTCAGCAGAAAAGGAAATGTTTCGCTTAATGCTATTGAATGTAGGCTTTTTCTACCAATTCTAGCCTCGATTTTCGCATTTTTACTACACTATACTGCCCTAATTTCCGAGATTATTTGTTGCGCGTGCTTATTAGAGAGTCGCAGAGAGAAAGAGGCGGAGAGCTACGCTAAATTGCTCACTATTTTGATTCCATTTCATGACTTTGTCGCGTAAGCTCCAATTTCCCATGTTAAAGCATTTACCAAGGATCTCATTTTTTTGGAAATACTACTTTAACTTGTTTTAGTAAAATATTGTGTTTGCTTGAGTTGTTTCGAATTGGCGGCACAATAATTGTAACAGCAACGGGAGATTAGAATATCCAATAATTTAAAATCCGTTGTGTAGGTGATGGCTCTTACAAACTAGACTGTGATACTCAAAAAAATTTTATTGAGCAATCTGTCTTGCAATATGTTTGGAGCCTTTTCAGCTTAACATTCACAAGAAACACTTTTTTGGTGCCCTCAATTAAGAACAGTATTTCGATAGTTTTTGTGTCACTTTATCACATCAAAGTCAGTTAAAGGGGTTACTTTTTTAAGATCGCTTTTCATTGGCCCTGCTACTCTATTTCAATAATCTCTTGAATTATTAATTTATTAGTTCAAGGTTTCTTTCTCTCGCCTATCGAAATTCCCTGATCAGCCTACCCCCATCCATCTGCATATTTTTCATCTCACCTCTATTCCTTCCTAATGAACTGTTCACGCTCCAAACATGCTCTCCTCATTTTCATTATAACATTGTTGCAACACTTTCATCACCTCCCACACTGTAAGATGCATTAACATCTGGGGCGCCTAGAGAGTCGCTTCTTCATCCCAGTTCTAGCTAGGATACAGGGGAGTGCCTGATTGCACTTCTTGAGTTATTATATAACCTCTATTTGTCATTATTTTAACAATTTCTAAGATATATGCAGATTTCGCAGGAAGTGTTGTCTCGCTGACTCACGGTTATAATTTTGTTTATTTAGGTATTCAAAGCATCTCATGGCTACCAGTGGCTAGAAGAAATCGAAAATCCTCTTTTCTGTGTGTGAGTGAACCAATGTTTTCTTTCCCATTTTGTGGTACCTTTAAATTTCTCCCAAAGATGTCTTCTTTTTCCTTCATACGAGGAAGGTGTCTTAGTCATAATGTTAATAATAAACTCACTTTTGTATTCCACAGTGAATACAGTGAATTCAACATTGGACTGTTGGATACATAGATGTGTGTAAAATTTTTTCCTAAAGTCAAGTTAGTGAATCCTTACCTTGAACGTTTTCAGCCCTCCAAGTATTTGGCATCAAAACGTTCCACGAATTCATTTAATTATTTACTGGCATCAAATGGCAGGCTTTATGATATTGATCTTTAGCCCTTTAGTTGACTTCGGGATTCACAGAGGAGAGGAACGTGGACGTCGCAAAAAGTCGAGAGAAGGAAGAGATGATATACTGTTGTAAAAGAGACAGACACAAGGATAAAGAAGATGTAAGATGAGTACTGTGGAAGTGGTCAAATATGACATAGAGTCGGGTCATTTTAGTTTGAAGAGAGGAGTCAACTGCTGGTTTATACTCTATTTTGGCGTATGAGTATACGTTGACCAGTGTGTACCACGTGGAGTTTAGTCTATCGCACACTCCGACTTCCATGAATTAGTTGCAAAGACAGTTTTTTCCTGAAACTACGTGCTCATCTCAAATTTGAACGCACTATCTGCCCTTGTGATGGCTGAAAATGAAACTAGTAATTCGAATACGACTTTGCATTTTTTTATTAAAGAAATATCTTCTTTGTCGTTTTCTATTTCAACCAATTCGCTATATTCGATTGAAAATGATAATATGCTTTAAAGCTATCAATTGGCATGCTCGTCTCGTAAGGAAGCGTTGGAAAATATGTCGATTTTTCAATATATTTGCCATGAAGGTGTTAAATTTTTTCATTTTTATTTAAAATAACTTTTCACCAAGAAATTGTTTATTCGAACTAATGAATGATATTGAAGATGGCACCTTTTTTCCGAAGAAGCAGCTGAATTTTGTTGTATGAAGTCCTAACGTCTTCAAATTCTCTCACTCTTCGATTGCTAGTTTTTGCTGATTATTTGATATTGTTAGCTGGACTTACATCAGTTGACTTTTACCTCTAGTTACGCACTTTGCAGAAGAAGAAGATGATGATGATCTTTGGAATTCAATAAGAGTTTCCTATGTCCCAAGATGATTTCGACCAAATACATGTCAAACAATTTCATCGGAATTTGTATATGTGGAATTGAAAACTTGTACCATGTTCATTCAATCAGGTTGAGAGATTTGTAAAAAAATCCGGATGAAACGTCCTCAAGGTAAATTAAGATAAGATGGTTTTAATGCAATTGGCAAAATTGCAAATCAATTCATTTGGACATTCAGACTTAAAGTCAGAAATCTCTTGATTTCAGCTCATCTCCCTGTGTGAGTGATGCCAAAAGCACGATGGAGCATTAGGGCCCAAACAATCCAGATTTTATTGATAGTGGTGCATTCGGAGTTGCTTTCTTGTAATCTTGGAATTTGGAAATGTTCTTTAATGTTGAAGTTATGTTAAATGTTGAATTTGGCAATTGCGGAGTTAACTTTATTAACTTGTTTCCTCATGTGTTTCCATAAACTCAGACCCTCAACTACGTTTTCCTGCACTTGTCCACGTCGACTTCTGGTTCACTCAGTGTTTGAGCGTCGTCGGACTCACTTAATGTCTTCACTTCGTCGAGAGGCCACAAGCGTACACTCTCTCCTTCCCCCATCCGTCCACTCCCTTGCTTTAGGTGCTGATGCTGACAAGCCTTCTAATCCCTACTGGCCACATCGTACTTTGGCCCTGTTGTCGAAATCTCTCTGTAATCAAGCTGTCCCACTGACGCCGAAAAACGCGACTCCAAAGAATAGCGTGGGGGTAGGTATCAGGATTTGTGAACGCGAGGAAGGCAACGAGGAGGTCTCAAAGGATTGCGTTTCCCAGTCGGTGGTGCAGCGACTGTGGGAGATTACATCATATGCTGAAAGGAAGATGGAAAACTCGAGGTATTTTATACTTCATAGTTAATCTTGGAGGCGATTGTTACAATTACTAAAATATATATATATGGCAGGGAGGTCGCTCAGTGGTGGAACAAAGCAAGTTACCTTTCGATAACATTATGTTTAGGTAGTAGGCGCCAATTTCCTAGTTCTTATGCAATGTAGTAGTGGTTTCGTATACTCAACGTTCAGGACTCTTGTAGGTTGTAGGCATCGATGACGACCGTAATTTGATTATGAATGTCCACTGTGCTATTTTTAAGCTTTCAACTAATTATATTTTCTACTGTCTGTTCCTCTTGTCTCAGATCAAGTATTTTGTATTTTTTGTTCTTGTTAGCTATGTCACTCTCAAGGAACTACACTTTCTCTCTAAGAAATTGCGTGTGATTTAGTATTATTTTGGGATCTACAATAGCAAATTGAGCACTTATTTTAAAATAAAATTCAGTTTGTGTCTAGACGCGATGTAGGAAACAACTCTCCCTAAGTTCGCTTCTTATTAGATAAATTGTTAAATAGTTATTTCTTTGTGGGCGTTGGATTTGGTTTTATTGTAGAGGGTAAAAATGTGCCAGTCAGATCTTGCGTCTAACTACTTCTTTCATCAGAGCTTGAACTCCACCAAGGCATTATTGAGAACTGTGATCAAGTGCCTTACCGTCTGCCGATGTCACGTTCGGTTGAAAAGTAATAAACCACGTAAAATGAATTTGAATTATATTCCAAAATCAGACGGTTTTGAAAATTTGATGATGACATATTGAAATCCATTGCTGAACCAGCTCTTCTGTTTACTATGTAAGGATTTTCGACGAAACGTGTATTTCTCTTGAAGGGTAGCGGTAAATTGTGCTCGTGGGGAAATTGGGTGCTACCACACCAACACTCCAATTATAACAAAGATGAATGAAAAATCCAAGTGCATTTCTTTGTTGGCAAGACAACAAGATGTTACTGCGTTCAGGAAGTGAACTGTTTATACACAACCACGTTGGTTGGATATGTTAAAGGCTGTTTCCAAATCGAACACCCATTGCAATGCCTAGTCTAAGCTTTCGGAAACTTCATTTCAGCATTTGATGGCTTGTACCTGGAAGAAACCATTACGAATAGTTAAAACCACGCAAAACTGTCAAAGTTGATTGTTTTCATCAATGGGAAGCACTGAAACAGAATGAATAGGTCAATGGCCAAGTTTATTTAAGAGAAAGGCCATGACATTGGTCTTCTTTTCATCTGCTTCAACATGTATTCGTTCTCATTTTTAGTGCTCATTTGGAATTCGCCAAACTTGCCTCCTTTCCATTTCTTCGGACGGTGGAACAAGAAATTGGCAAAATTTTCTCCAATGAGGTCAAGTAGGACTGTTTTGAGTATCTTTAATCGATTTCTCGATGTCATTAAGTGTCTACTACTGGTCAAATTGCTAATTGTAGAGATAAAATGCCATGGCTAAGAGCTTACGTTGGTCAATCTGATTCAGTCTACCTGTTTCTGAAAGCCCTGAATATCTCTGTTGGCACTCATGACCACCAGCGCTCCGCCGGTCGATTGGTAATTGAAATACATCGATTCCATTCTCAGCAGGTATCTTTATCTCCCCCCATCAATCTTCGTTTTCTCTTGGACGGTGTTGACATTGGTGAATCATTGAAATCGATTGGCCTCTGTGAGGGCAATCCCCTCCTCTGTCCCGCGAAAAGATTTGTAGAGTATCTCAAGGCGTCAAAGTTTTGGGGTCCTCTTTTGGAGTCGCATTTAATGAACTCTTCAGAGGATGCCTTCAAATTTGTCTGCAATTCAGATGATTTCAGGACATTGATGAAGTGAAGTATATTTTGTAGTGAATGGCATTTTGTGTATATAGAAGTTAATTAATTTATTTAAAAGTGAATGTGATCTGCTATGTTTTGCCTCTTTAAGTATGTGTGTGAGGGTTTGGTTGGGGGGGGGGGGGGGGGGGGGGGGGGAGGGGAGGGGCGAAACAAGCAGAAAAATTTCCCATAATTTCTCTCTTTTTTCCTTTTGCCATAAATTACTTCAATCAGTCTCAAATTGTCACCTCAAGGAGCTATCAAATTTGGAACATCTAAGATATCGATGTATAATCTGTGTGTTTATTCTTAACTAACAAAGGTGTAAGTGTGTTGTCTTGGTGCCCCTGTCAAAATCCCTTAAAATATTGTTGCCAGGATGCGATAAACATATAATTTAATACTGAATGGCAAATTGATTTAAACACAGAGGGTGCCACAAGGAAAATTTTGAATGTTGCAGACATGCGGGGACCAAAATGGGGTAGAGAAGGCACAAAATGAGTGTTTTAGAGGGATTCTAAGCTTTTTAACGCCCGAATTAATTTTTGAAAAATGAACCCAACCGCACTCACGTCTGTCTCACAGCAAACTGTTGCCGACGTGATGAGTTTTAGTGGTATCAGGCGAAGGCTATAGACGTTCAAAACTTGCTTCAAATGGCGATAGTGCTTTCCTTTACGAGTCCAGTATCAATGGAGCTTATTTTGAAGGAGCACAGAGCAGTTCTAAGAGCGTTGAATGACCAAATGTCGTTTAATACGAGAGGAAATGGATACCATCAATAAGTGTGACACATGCTCTCTAAGTTGTCTTATATTCTCCAAATAATTGTTGCCAAGTACTCTCAATATATATGATGGGAGTTACATACGATGAAAAATTCCCACTGAAACTATGGGTTGAGCTAATAGCTCGGGATTTACAACTTTAAGATACTAACTTGCGAGTAAGTGTCACCTGTTTTTCGAAAATATCAGGTCACAATGTGCTAAGTAGCGGTGTATGTGTGTGTTCTAACCCCCATTGGAAAGCCACTTAGCTTAAAATTATTGCAAATTAGAGGATCAAAACCTATTAGTAAATTCAAAAATGGAAATATAATTACGAGGCATAGTATTGTAGCGTTCACAATCTCGTGAGCTCGAACCCACCGATACTATAACTCAAGAGAATTTGGGAAGAAGTAATTAGGGGAGTAAGTGCGTTAGTATCATAGAATTTCTTAGAATGATTTCGAAGTGAAAGCGAACTAGGCAAGCAGGACGGGAATGATGAAATTTTATCGATTTGTTAAAGTGGGAATACATACATACACACATGTATATGAAAGTGCATCCGGGAGTGCAAATCAATACTGTATACCGATCAATAATTACAAAATAAACAGGTGCGATATCTTTATTCTAAGGTAGCGATCTAACAAGTTAGTTTCTTTTCTGCTTCATTATTATTGTGATTAGAAATGCTGAACATAACTTGCCAACTTTTAGTATTGAAGGACGTCTTTCAACAGTCGCTATACTCACAGTGGAATGCAAATGCGTAAAATAAATTACAATGCCAATGGTGCTTCAAGCTTGGATACATTTTGAGAAATTGGATTTGAAAGTCTCTTGGGTTTAAAATGCCGAGTAAGAATACGATCTGTTCAACCATAGAATTTTATTTCTAGGGTTGTCTAGAAAAGCTGAAGCAATATTTCTGCAACTCAAATTAATGTGTCCATCTGTGTTCTCTCCACCTTTCACAATAAGTAGTCTACGAAGCAGTGGACGGATTATTTGACCTATGTCCTTATGCCAACACAATATGCTTGCTCCTGCCCATTTTCCATCCAAACACGTGATAATGACTAAAACATTCCTATTAATGGGCCTACTGCAGTAAATTGAGGATATTTGTTGGTGGCCATAACCATCTGGAAAAACGAATGCAAAAACTCGCTCTTCTTTGCAAGGAAACGAGAGTTTATGTATTTCATGTAACCAGACATTTAAAATTGGGGTTCAATGAACTATCAAATAAAAATGCGGGATCGTAATTAAGCTCTTTTTATGAATGGCTTTTTTTGTTTTTTGCTTTCTTCCTATTTGTCGAAATTTTATGAGCGAAAACCACGTTTTACTTATTAAATTCTGACTAGGTTTTGACATACGTCTTCCGTGGAGATCAATCATTATCGATTGCTTTGACTTTTTAACATAATTGGTCCGAAATCATATTACTTTAAGTAATACTATTAACATGGGGTGTTCGATAGACCTTCCTTCAAGCGGTGCACCCTCAGAAAAGCATACTCGTACGCCAAAAAGTCTATAAACCAGCAGTTGACTTCAAATTACCATGACTCCAGTGTATGTCATATTCTGCAACTTCCACAGTACTCACCTTACCCTTTCTCTACCTTTGTGTCTCTCCCTCTGTCTGTCTGTCTGTTTCTTTTACATCTGCGAATCATTAACCTGTTCCACTTCTCAACTTTAAACCACTTTGATGTTCCTCTCCTCTGTGAAGCCCGAAGTGAGTTAAAGAGCTAATGTTAATTATCATAACGCCTGACATTTGATAATAACAAATAAATAAATAAATAAATACTGACAAAATGAAACATAATGTTGGAATGGAGATGAA